ATAGTGTCACAAAGACCTTCTTTCTCCTTTTCACCCGAATACTGTTCGAAGGCTTGCTCATTCTTCTCCTCCGCCTCGGCTGTGGCCTTGGCCTCTGCCTCGTAAGCCCCAGGCTCCACGCGTGTTTTTGTCTTCCCCCAGATGCCCTGCTCGTAGAGGTTGTCTTGGTCGTTGGAGGCATCAGCGGAGAAGTTCATCTCTGGTATGGGCGCCTCTCCAGAGGGAGAGCTTCCCGTTGCGTGGTCGCCTGTCTCGCTGGTTTCCATGTGCGAGTCGTCAGGATGTGCCGCAGGTGGGACCTGTGTAGATTCAGGTTCCTCCTCCTTTGTACCAGATACCTCTCCAGAGGGAGAGCCTTCTGGTACATCGGTGTCCATAGGCACATCCGTATCCATCGGCACACTGGAATCAGGCTCCTGTTTTGCCTCTTCCACTCCAGCCATCTCTCCAGAGGGAGAGTCCGCCGGAGCAGCTTCAGCAGAGCCACCAGCTTGTTCCATGGGCTCGTCGACCTCCTCGATCACCGGCCCAGGGAGATTGGAGATAAACTCCTCCACGACGATGTCGTCGAAAGGACGAGTGTAGAGCTCGTCAATCTCCCGAGCGCGCTGGGAGCGAAGGTTCTCGTACGCGATCAAGTCCGCGTGAGCCTTCCTCCCGAAAACAGAGGTGAAAGCGCCAATGCCCATCACCTTGAACTGTTTCTCCAGCGCGGCAAGGACCAGAGACGCGTTCCAAGGCTCCTTGAGTGAGGAGTCATACAAAGTATAACCCTCAGGAGCGTCTTATCTGTCGTGTAGATTGGTGTGGTAGCCTATAACGTGTAGGACGTAAAAGAAATGGGTCAGACGACATTGGCCGTCGTGACGGTGCGACTGCGCTCACAGTGATTTCACCGTGCCAAATGCACGAATTAATCGCCGGCTTCATCAGGAAGCTCAGTATGCTCCTCCGAACGGTGTCGGAGTCCTGCAGGCGCTGGCGGTTCCTCACGCTCTACCTGATCGTCCTCCTCAATCGGAACTGCTACCGCTGTGGGTGCATCTGCCAACACGATGACGGCGTTTGACGTGATGACTCCGGTTAAAAGATGAGGTTTCATGGACTTCGTCAGGCAATCCGCCAACTGCAAATGAGTTGGGATCCATCGTAAGATGTCACCAAATGGCGCAAAAGCTTGATGGGAAAGTTCATCCCCCTCCCAAAGCATCTGCCTAAGGCCAGCTAGCTCTATGGCTAACCGCTTATCTTCCACTTGCTTTGGTACGGAAGATAATAAGTGGTCGGATAAACTCCGGCAGTCCGTATATTGGACGTGCAAAAGACTCCGTCGCGCTACGTCTTCCCACTCTCCACGTGCAGGGAGCTGTCCAAGCAGTTCAAGAACGCTGGCACGTATGCGGTCACCATGCTCATTAGCATGTTGCAAAGAGGCTTCACACTGAAGAGTTGCCCTACACACTCTCTTCATGGTCGACGAGCTGAAGGAAATCAAACGCATAGGGTGCTCCTTAGCATTACCGTCGACTGCTGCTTCGTGCGAGGTTAGGTAGGAGCCGTCCTCTTTGGGACTTATGGCCTTGCTCTGCGGCAAATGAGGCATCACAAAACGTGACAACTGCTAGTTTTCCAGGCTGCCAGGGGAGGTGAGCCCGGTAGACTATGCTACGGTCCGCATCGTTAAGTGCTAAAGCCACGACGCGGTTTGCCTCGCGCAGAGTCTCGACTGTGGCAGTCGTAACACGCTGCTGAAGCGCGTTTACACGATACGCCAAGTCAGGCCTTGTAGCCCGCGCAACCCATGCTAAGGAACCTATGACTGACCTCAAGGTTGTCCTTTGTGCGGGTGACACCGGCGTGGTGCCTTTCTCGTCCTTGCGAATGTCGATAGGCCTTATAGCCCTCGTGTTATCACGGCAATTTATCTCAATGGTGCCGTCTATGTGCTGCGTATACTCGCGACCACAGAATCGAAACTTATCAGTTTCCACACGACCAATCTTGCATCGATCTAACAGTCGCTGCATGACCTCCTCTCCTTCCGCACGCGCGGCCCAGAGAAAGTCGTCAACATGCGTACACAAAGCAGCGCACAGCTTTCCTTCCTTATCTCTGAGGAAGTACAACGTCAGAAAGTACCCGAGAAACCTTCAGGCCGAGCTCTCGTGAACTCTCCTTTATACGGCGGTAAAGATTGCGATCGGCGTCGGTGGTACCGTAAACTGGCACCCGAGCAATCATGAACCCCGTACGCTGTATTTCCGGGTCTGGAACTCCCTTGGGATGCTTCGGCACTCTCAACATGAGTAACCTTTCTAGCGGCTTACCCTGGAAATATGCGTTAGTTATGTCAGCCGCTTTAAGCCGTAAGCCGATGGATACGGCCCAACTACAAATGAGCGCTATGCCTTCCTGCTCCGCGGTGGGAGAGTCTGCGCGAATGTCTTCGCCATGCATTTGCTCAAAATTTCCGCACGCTACCAAACGCGCTTTCCACTTGGGTGTATACCCAGGTGTNNCTTATCGGTCAAAACCCACTTTGTGGGAATGCGTATGTGCCCCGCTCGAGTGAGTTCGAGCATTTCTTCGCGACTGCACGGAACAACAGCATTAAATTCTACGTATTTCTGCCATTCTGCCTCCATGGCCTTATCTAGGCCAAGTTGCGTTGCCACCGGGGCCTTGTGATAGTCAATGAGACTATAGCCATATTGGCAGTGGCATTCTCCTGAGCATCATTCTCAGGGCTCGTTTCCCAAACAAGTCGCTCCGCATGATGAGTTGTAGGTTCAGGAGCTTCTTGCATCGAGTTGTCCGTATAGGACGGAAACCCTAACTGCGATAGAAAATCGAGGTCCTGCTGGGTCAACTTTCCCATATCTGTCATAGTAAACCCGGAGATGCTATATCTGGTGCCCTGATATGGCATAACCAAGTGAACCTCCTTAGGGTTAAACCTAAGTACGGCATCTTTCGTGGAGTGTACGTTACCTTTCATGCGGATGCCTTGTACCTGTGCAGAAACAGGTCCTGTTGGATCTTCAATCCATAGCTCACCATTGGTGAAATCTCCTAAACTTATAGCGTAGTTGAATGTGCTGGGCTTATTCGACGTGTCCTTATGCACTCCGGCACCCCGTCCACACAGGGGTGCTTCATAACCTGCTGCATGACATCGATCATGGAGAAAGGCGTTCAGGTACCGAGTCATGCATGGACGCGACCATGTCTCGCCGCTGACCCCAACCAATCCTCCATGGCGATGTACGCCCAGCGTAGCGGCTAAGATGCCATGCCCATCTTTGCCGAATATAACGGGCGTTTATACACTCCATGTTGGTATTTCGTGTGTAACTGCAACAGTAGGGCGCACGCGTCCGAAGTGAACACGCTATCATTCGACAAAGCAGTGGCTAACTCCTCGACGGGATCAACCGTCGGTTTCAGCTCTGGGTCTTCATGCAAGATCGCGACGTGTCCTCTAGGTTGCGGTGACCTAGATCTAGCCTCTTCGCCCGTCTTATCTCTGATAGAGATGCGGGATGGCGTTGCTGGGATTGGAGTGTCAGGTTGCCTTGTCACAACTGGCGTACCGAGCGAGCATGGGGGTGCTAGGCGCTGCAGCGACGTTTGGTCTGGGATTCGCCGGTGCGGTGACCGGGTCGGCTCTCCTCTCGTCTGCGAAGTAAATGGCTTCAGGGAGCACAGGTTCACCAGTGAGAACCCGGTGTGCTGCGACTTCCACTTCGCCCGCTGGGCGCATCTTCCGCGCATTAACTAGCACGGGCACGTTTTCGTGCAGTAGCCGGAAAAAGCCTCGCGTCCTATGACGCGGCTCACAGTCGACCAGACTGTCGCTGGCGTGCCAGGAACATTGTCTCGTCTGTATATATGACGAGATCACCCACACTGTACTCCGCATCTATGGGTGCCGCGTTCCTCTGGAGGGCCTTCGCCACTTTTCGCGATGTGTCCAGGTGGACAAACGCTCTCTGTGTTTCTGCTCTTGCTCTGTGGCGAAGATAGAACGGACTCGTTTCGTCGTAACGAGCGTGGTAAGTTCCAAAGTTCTCGCCCTCATCAGTTAAGGAACCGGGTATGCGGGGTTGTTTTCCTAACACGTGTTGTGCGGGACTAAGGGTTTGTTAGGGTTTGGAATCCTTATCCTAGTGCATTTTATGAAGGAGAACTACCTGGAGCAGCCTTGCGGGAGCTGCCAAATGTGGGCCAGAAAAAGCCACCGAGACTCGGCAATACGATTTGTTACGGCCAAAATGTGGGCAGAAAGAAGAACCAAGAATCGGCAGTACGATTTGTTACGGCCAAGCGTGGGCCAGACAGAGCCACCGAGACCCGGCAGTTGTAACAAATCATACTGCCGAGTCTCGGTGGCTCTTTCTGGCCAACTCTTGGCCGTAACAAATCGTACTGCCGAGTCTCGGTGGCTCTTTCTGGCCCACATTTAACCGTAACAAATCGTACTGCCGAGTCTCGGTGGCTCTTTCTGGCCAACTCTTGGCTGTTACAAATCGTACTGCCG